ATCCCAAGTGAATCTGAAAGATATGCAGCCTCTGCTTTTCTTTATGGAGTTGTTGCCACCATCCTTACCATTTCTTAAATAGCTGAGGTAATGGAAAGATTAAGTCAGCGCTTCAGACTGATGATTTCTTTAATTCAAAATGCTGCCTGTGTTTTGATTGCATCCCTTAAGATTATAAGATCAGTTGTCTATTCCATCAGAATGTGGGAATCTACCTGTATTCAGGATCATCCCTAAAAGAGGCAAATTTACTGGGCTGGACTCCTGGTTATTGGACTCTCTCTGGATGTCTTTCAAAATCCACAGGGCCTTTATTTCCTTACTACATAGGAAATGGAGCAAATAGAGAGGTTAAACATTCATTAAACAATTCTAATCCTTCAACCAGGGTACAGTACTAGGAAAGAAGACTGGGGGAAAAAAAAGCTTCCTTTCCTAATGCTGTGTTGGTTTTCTTCATATGCGAGACAGTCCAGACAAGCTCAAGCTCATCAGTCTTGATTTCTTCAAGTACAGAGTTATTTAACTCTACTGTAAAATGTTTATCAAGTTACGACTTGAGGGAGCAACATATGACAAAAACTGTGACTAGCACTACATTTTTTATAAGCAGCTTTAGACACTACTTGTAACATTATGAAAAGTAGTTGCTTTTATAGCCAACTGAATGCAAATCCTTCTTTAGTCTTCTAATCCTTACTACAAACCTACAAATTTATCCAGAACTTTTTTCCACAAAAGGCTGTTTTCACCCTGTCCTTGTTTTGTTACCCTTTTGTCAGATGCCCTCCAAACTAACATTATCACATTACATAGCCTGAAAATCATGCAAACAAATGGCCTGGTGTTAGCTTCACAAAACCAACTGATTACACCATTAAAACACTCCTAAGAACCAACATGGTCAGCTCTGGAAAGCGTAAGGAATAATAATTCACAGTTTTGTTATGAAGTCTATGAACAGAACGCATATTCCAAAACACAAACTCAAATGGAAAAACAATTCAGTCGTGGTGTAAATTTATAAAATCTACAAATAGACAGCAAAAATATCATTAATTAGAATCGCTGAGCTTTCATGTACTGGAAACTGACTAAAAGATACCGACTGATCGCACTGTTATTTCCTCCATGGTAAATGGTTAATTGCAGGATGCACTCTGGTTGTAAACAGTAAAGGCATTTTTAACAGATTATCAACTAGAAGGGGAAACAGCAAGATAGACTGTACAGTTCAGTGAGAAGGAACTCAGCTATTTTATTTCACATAGTTAAACCTGGGGAACATTTGAAAGCATCAGTAGAAGCAGATAAACGAAACAAAACCAAATTCAATTTCAAACTCATCTCAGTTTTACAAAGTGTTCTGCAGCTCAATGTGCTCCTTACAGGCAAGGTGTTAAATATAAAGCCACTGGTAATGCAGAGTGAGAGGAAGGAGAACTGAAGTACCCTCATAGCTATTTGTGGGAAAACTCACGTTCACATTTGCTTTGCTGGGCTAAGAGGCAAAAGCATAATTCAGAAATTTTTACTATGACTTATCTAACACCTTCCTAGTAGTGCCCAGTCAGAAAGTCCAATTAGTACAGAATTTAATTAAAAGGCTTTGGGCTGTGTCCCCCCCCCCCCATCTCTGTGCATTGGTTTCCATTTTAAGTTTTCATTCTGAGTCCTTAAACTGGCTTCCATTCCACCATGCCATCTATGGTACTTCTTCCCCCTTTGCAGAAGAGCCAAACAACCTAAAACCATCATCAAGGACACAGCAACTCACTTTGCATGTAATCAGACATCTAATAACCACAGCTGGTGTTAGTTATCCCCATTAGCACACCACAAAGTGTAACTGTAGAAGCTCATTCTTTCTCTTTCAGCAACCAAAGGGACATCAAGTGTATTACTTAGCTTGCATCACAAGAATTTACTATTCATTCTTTTTCTTCTAAACACATTGTCTTATGTCTGTTTCAGAAAACATTTTCTCATGAGTTTATAACTGCCTATTCATTTTGTTAGTTTTTCCATCTTCACAAAAAACTTAATCCACAACTGAAAAGTTATCATGTAACTTGCAAGTTATTCTACAACCCATTCTTGTCATTCTTCCAATTCCCCACTCTTTCTTCTCTCTCTCTCTCTTCTCTCTCTTGCACCTTTTCTTGGGTCTGGAGGGAAGAACTACAGAGTGTTTTGTAGAACAAACGCACATATCATCTATGGAATCTACCTTAACTTATCCAGCATGCAGTAGAGGAGAAAACACCAGCTACTGAAGCATAATTAAGACTGAAAGTAAGCAGTATCATGCTCTACCTCCACCATCTCTCACATAAGTTTTTTAAAAGTCAAGGCTTTAGTATAAAGTTATTAAATGTGGTTTCCAAAGTAGTTCTAGTACTGACAGAAATATGTGATTATTTACTTAGTACTGCTCATGTTGCAGTCAAAGTACCAAGGGGATCATTAGTTGACAATACTCTGTGTTTTTTTAGTTTACTTACGAAATGAATTCACTTTCTACAATCATAAAGCTTTCCATGATTTTGGACTTGACACCACAGCATAAATTCAACACATTTAATACCGTTATTTGCATCAAGATGTAGCATGAAATATATTTTATGACTTAATTCTGCAGTACAGTGGAAGACTGGAATCCTCAGTATTTCTGTCCAGAAAACTGAACAAGTTCAGTACTTGTTCAGTCATCACTGAACTGCCCCACTATCTGTTACTTCGACGGTAAAGCTCCAGCACACCTATTCCAAGTCTGCAGAATGCAAACAAGCATTTACTTCTGTAGCTGAGCACACCATTTGTTAGCTGGATTACTCTCCGTAATGTTTTAAACAGTAAAAAACTGTAACTGTCTAACCCAAATAAATCAGAAGTAAAAACCACGCACTAAATTGCGTCAGGAACTCGATATTTGTGCAATTTCTGGCAACTCAGATCCCCATTCCTGCTCCAGACTTTCTGCTGCTCTTCTTAAAGCTGCTGAAGCTAAATGCATGCTAGCAAGTAGTGCCACGCAGCACAAGTAGATCTGTTAATGTGCCTGCTGAAGACCCAACCCTCCTACCATACACATTCAGAGCTGTTTTTACTTCAGGCTCAATCTAACACTGCTGCTGTGGACCCAAGGTCTGTCAGTGGTTGGCATGTAACAAGCACATTTCTGAAACACTGCTTCCATTTTCCTCCCACACAGAAGAAACTCTCTGTAGGCCAAGCATGCTTCACAACATTAACAAAAGTACACTAAGAGAAGATCAGGAAATCCACTTTACAAGAGTACTCTCAAGCTAAACTGAAAAGCTTGTGTGGACCTACCCACTGAGTTCGGAGACAAGCAGCCCCACTCAAGCATTCACAGAGCGAGTGTCAGTTCCTCAGCACAGCTGATTTCCCACATCTGCTCGTGTTGTGTCACGCTACTTGCTAACAGCACGTCATCTCCTGTGTTGTCTGCTCCTGCTCTCAACCAAATATAGGTGCCTGTAGCTTCAGTCTGCAGTATTCTCTATTGTCACGTGTTGATGTGGTGCTCATGTATATGTGATGCAGCACAGAGATACCACGTGCCATCTGCTGGACTGCTATTCACGTATTGCCTCTTCACACCTCAGCAGCTGCCAGCAACAGAGATAGACTTCTAACACTGTGGGCAAAGGCATCTCGGGGCCCCAGTACAATTGGCTTGGTCACAGCACTCCTGAAAGGATTTCTTTCAGTCTTGTTTTTCAAGAACAAACTAAGGTCACCTCTCCTTCCACCAGAATAAAGACAGGTTTCCTAGACATTCCTGAAAACTCAAGTTGCTTTCAAATCTCCTTTTTTCATCACTGGAATACAATAATATCCACAGAAATACTATGTACCCACAGGTCTCAGTGCTGGTGCTTTTTTCAGACAGTTGAGTTTGGTGGGTTGTTTTTTTTCTAGCTAGTTAATTTACGTGTGGGTTGTTCCCCACCCCCCAGATTCTGCCATTTGAACCTGAGAAGCAAAGGTCATTCACAAGCCTCTGAGATATTTGAAAAAGACATGCATTTTAAAATGCCTCAGAAACATTCATTTCAAGAACTTTGTTCTAGCTACATCTCACATCTGTACTCTATTCAAGAGTCAACTCTGAAACTACAAATATTCAGAAGTCATACTTCCAAGGTTGATAATCTACCTAGAAATGATACAGACAAAAAACAGTATTTCAAAAATACATGTTTCAGCTACTCATGCGATACAATAGTAATTAAAAACTACCCCAAATCCTATGTGACAGTATTTACCTAGAACACACTTAACCTTATTCTAGCACTTTTATTAACCAATGATCCTTGAGAGAAAAAAAGAAAACAAAAAACCAAGGCCACGAAAAGTCAGATCCCAAGATTTGTTTAAAGGACAGTTCAACACAAAGATCTCTCCACTACGTGTCATTGGGGTATCTCTTCCCCACCTGCTGCGTAAATCTATCTGCTTTAAGAGTTAACAGGCAGCATTACTTCATCTTGTAGCTTTCCAGATATACACAGAATCAACAGCATTGCAACGCTGATTTCTGCTTCTTGCTGAGACTCAAGGAGATGACCACAAAAATTTCTGCTAGTGAAAGGAAGGAAAGTAATAAGGCCATCCCCATGCAATCAGCATCAGCTATCACGTCTTGATTTTGTGCCTAATTTTAGCTAGAGATTGAAATGTAGACATGAGGATTTTAGCTCCTACTAGCTGATAAGGACCTGCAACCAAACCTCAGTTGTAAAGAACACGTTACGTACCACATGGGATGGGTTAGACAGTTCTTTTCTCTAGCTGAAGATGCACTGCTGCAGCACAAGAGGGAGAAGCAGGTTGCTGAATAACGCTAAAGACATGCTGATTTTACTAAAACACCTTACCCACCACCATGCCTGTAAAAAAGTCACGTTGCCACATACTTGATTCAGAAATTTAATTTTCAAATTAAGTGATTGATATTAAGCAATATTTACCTGCTTCTTCTTTAATGAATGACAGATCTTCTTCCGGATATGGGACTGATGGTTGCAACACTGAGCAATCTTCTGAGTTCTCTTCAGTATTAGGTGGTATATTATAAATAAATCTTTTTGCAGTTTGGTTTTTCCTTCTTGCTTTTCCAGGTTCTTGAACTGATTGTCCCTGTGAGCCCATGTCATTCCACACAAAAACTTTTCCCTCACCTTGAGACTCATTTTCGGCCATTTCAGGTGAGCTGTCCTGGACCCAACTGCAGTCATTCATTTGGTAGCTTTCAATTTGGGCCTCATCAATAGAGTAACCATCGTTCTCAGTTTTTATGCTACTTGCCAAGTTGGTAAGGTTTCGTGTTGCCCAGAAGCTGGCAACTTTCTGATCCCTTGGAGACATACCATCCCTACTAACAGACCTCCTGTTATAATCCACGACAACGGTCTCCGGAGCTTCTGATTTTATACTTATGTTTAAGGCATCTTTAATGAAATTGCGGCAAGACTGGACAACCTCCGTCATCTGAAGGTAGCTGGCCACTGACATCACTTCAATGGCATTTTGGCTCGTAAGCACGAGGTTCCCAGAATACAAGAAGTCCAAAATGACAGAAAAACCTTGAACAGCAACAACATCTAAATAGGTAACAGTGGTTTGGTTACGGCTTTCTTTGTTTGTAAAGCAATACAGAGTCTTAAAGAAGCGGCTGCCTGCAACCAGGATGTTCTTGTGAGCTCTGAAGACTCTCCCACTCACCACAATATTGACATCACAAAGAATGCCTTTCTTCCTCTGCTCATTTAGTTCTTGCAGGAGCTGATAGCAGTAAGAGTTCTCATTTGGCCTGCTGTTAAAATCACAGTATCCTTCATTATTCAGTTCTGACGGTAACTCCGACTCCTGGAATTAGGAAGAGAAACAATTAGCTTTTCACAAATGTTCTCTTTAGTCCTACAACACTACTAAAAGGATAAGAAACTAAAGGTAATGTTATTCCAATTTTTCTTAATTAGAATCTTGGTTATAAATGCAGGCTGGAATGCATGTTTGAAAGAACATTCCCATCATCTAAGAATCACGTTCCCAGACTGCACCCTCCTCCCATATTTGGAACAAAACTGCAAGAAAGTTGCCATTAAGGACAAAGGAAATAATATTTTGGGCCAAAAGTAAAGTAAGATTTAGCCAAGAATGAAGTACTTGACTTTGTTAATCCATACATATCAAAGATTCGCAGTCTCTTTCCTAAGATTTATCTGGGCAGCTCTCACATGCGCAGTTCGTTCTTCCTTAGAAAACTCCCCTTGAAGTCAATAGAGAACCTTGATCCAGACTCAACAGTAGCTCATTACATAAAGATGATCACTTTATCTCCCAACCTGCGTCTAACTGTTCTACATCTTCTAAAGAAACTATAGCATTAGAGTGCTTGTAACAACAGGTGCATTTCTACAAATTAGGAATTTTATTTTTTTTTAATTTCCCACTGTAGAGGCCTTAGACTAAATACTGGTAATACAAGGGAACAGAATGCTGCAGGTGCCCAAACAAATGTTAGGCTTTCGTTACACTACTTAGCCAAGACTTCCTTGAATCAAACTACACTGAAACTTCCCAGCAACACCATTTAATTGGTTATCATACATGGACAACACATACTTATATGCCTCTCCGTGACCTTGTCAAGAAGTGATCTTAAACATAGCTTCAGACATTTCCCAGCAGTAGAATCAGACAATCCAACACCAAGAAATGAATTCCTAAATAATTAGTTCAGGCAGAAGCTGGTGAGTAACGAGAGGTTTGAAGTAGATTTTACAGTACTTTATAACTGTTGTTTAGACAGTGATGATTCAGACCTGCTACAAGAGAAGCAGCTAGAACAAAGCAGAAAACAACAAAAAAACCCCTCATACTTACATTAATTGATAGGTGACATCAAGAGCATTGACGATGACACCACCTTTTTTTCCACTAGATCTCTAAGAGACCCTTCCTAGCAATTAAGAATAGTTTGGAACTGGCTGGTTCCATTATGATTTTGGATAAGAATAGACTGCATTTTGCAAAATTCTTTCCTCTAATTTTCAAAAGTGACTCACAGACCTAGGAGGTAGGGGGCATTAAAAACTGCACTACCTCAACGTTACAGGTCAGCTTCAGTAAGTGGGTTTTCATGAGCTCATGATGTAAACTGGGGCTAGAACGTATCCTGAAAATGAGTACTACCCTTAATCTGGAATTATGGCGGAATTGGCTATATAAAGAAGCCATTTTCCACCATACAGGAATTATTGCCTTAAATCAGCACTTGCTTCAAGTTATAATCCCAGTGTGGATCACTAGAATGACAGCTGAGGTCACAGAATCATGAGGTCAAACTAAATACTTCAGAAGAGATTATTTCTATCTCTAAGCAGCAAGCAACGTCCAATATGATCAGAAGAGAAATTTTCCAGCATCTCCTGCAGAGAAAATTCAGTTTGTTGCCACATTCAAGACACTTCTAAACCTCTACCCTTTTTGGAAAAAAAACTTCAGTGGAAAAAAAGAAAAAAAAAAAAAAAAAAAAAAAGAAGGCAGCAGCAAGACAAGCAATTAGGCTTTTATGTGAAAATGAGGCACAGATCTTCGTCCAGCCTCAGCTTACTTCTTTCTGCGTGCTCTCTGACAAAGGCAAGCACTCCCTCTGATCAGAGCACTGAAACAGGAAGCACGTCGCAGATGCGACAGCTCAGCCTGCCACGGAGTTCTGAGCATTTCGGAGCCAGGCAGACTTTCTCTTAGTCCACAGTACAGTTTCAAAACTCTGACTACACTGACTTCGGGTCAGAATAAAAACAGAAGTGACGGTATTGAAGTGTCACCACTCTGGTCGCAGCCAAACATCAGTGGCTTGTGTCTTACACACAGTCAGGCACACGCCACAACACCTGATGGAACTTCATTTCCTGAGACCAGGCGACATTGAAGATTACTCTGCAGAAGGCCTTTTCTTTTTATGCTTGACTACACAGAAGCAAGGGAGAAGTATTAGCAATTAACAGAGAGCATACACATCTTTTTTTCCACCTAACTGCAGTACTGAACACAAGAGGTTAACTGCTGTTGGAAGCCAACAACTCTAATGCTGTACCGTGAGCTAAACGAAAGCCCTGACATCAGAACAGTTAACAAGTCTGTGCAAACCAAGTGTGACAGAGTTAGCATTTACTATGGGAAAAATGAAAAAAATGTAATGTCCCTTGGAGACTTTTAAACATCTCCCCTCTCTACAGAGAAAGTATAATACAATTCACTGGGAGGTAAAGTTAAGAAAATAATTACAGGAAAAAAAAAAAAAAAAAAAAAGAAAATTTATTTTCAAATTTCTATTACCCACGTTATGCTCATAGCAATCATCACAAGGGAACTGTTTTTTCTGATGAGAACCACAAACTACTATTTCCTTAGATGCCAATTATATTTTCAGAATACAAACAAAAATATTCCCCTAGCTTAAGTTACCTCACCACCAAACAGCTTTGTCCTTGACAACTGATAAGAAACCCAGAATAGAATGGAAGACTTTCATTCTTGTTTGTGGAATTTCCAGCATCAGCCTGAAAAGCTTCCCTCTATAGGTGAGATTAAGCAGTGGTCTAACAGAACACGAACTGAGCTCCGTTTCAGTTAACTGGTCTCCAAATACCCCCAAAGACAAAATGACTCCTCTGTATGTGCAGCTCGGTAGTGAAAGCCGCCTAACAGCTAACTGTAGCAGAAAGACGATCAGAAGCACTACTAGAAACTTGCTTCCTTTCTCGCAGTGCCACCGGCACACTCTCCTCCTAAGAGTGAAAGCAGAAGGGAGGTGAAGGAAAGCACTCTGACCACAGATTCCACCCTGGCTGTATGCATATTTAAAGCAGTAAAGCCACATTTTTGCAATCCCTTCCCTACTGCCACACCTTGCTCTACAGCAACTTTTCGATGCCCCCAAATTAATTCTCCTCCTGAAAAATAGATTTCTTACGCGAGTGTGGCTGCAGAGGGAAATCCTCTCAGAAAACAGCCCCACCAGCTGCACGCAGGACACTCTGCTGCTGCTTCACAAGCCTCAGCATCCCTCAGGAAACTCAGCATTTGGGCACTGCTACACTAAGTGCCCAACACCCAACCGAGTAGCTCCGGGTCTGGGAAGAGCACTGCATAAATAAATCCACTGTAAGTGACCGTCCTTACTCTGAAGGCCTGACTGCCTCCTCAGCCAGAGTAATTGGAGAAGTTAACTTAGAACACTACAATGCAACTTTACATTTGAAGCACGACTTCTATTCATCAGTGCACACACAAAGCAAACAATTACAGTTCAAATGGAAAAAGTAACACATCAAAGGCCTTCCTCCTTTTGGAGAGCTTCTGCTCTAAACCAACGCGCCTGCTAGGCTGGAGAAAGCTTTTCTGGCACTAATGCCAAAGCACAGCTTCAAATTATGTCCACATAAAAATGTGTTTTAAGAAGCAGCTTTGAGGATAGGAACCACAAACAGATGATAAATCTGCAACTCGCAGATCTAAATTCATCACAGAACTAAAATGTTTGGCAGTGACTTCCGAGTAAGTCTCAATTCTTTTCAATTAGGAGAGAAATAATTCCTCCACAAGTCTATTTAATAAAAAACTGAAGATAGTTTCAGACTGCATTATATCTCTCCTTAAGTTTTACCGTAGCAACACAAACTAGTTTCAACTAAAACAGAAACAAAAGAATGGAGATTTTTGTCTTCGAAAGCAGCACCAACCGACAGCTCCATACCCCTGAATTGCAGCAGCTGTAACCACTTGTGTGTTTTGGCATTCTGAATTAAAAGTGTCCCAAAAATAAACTGAAATCATCACTCACTCCTTCATGAGTGTAATATCCAACAGACCTATAGAAATTTCCACTGCTTTACTGTCTTTAACACCTACCATTTCCTTTTTGCACTTAAAGGTGGCACTATGCCATATGTTTATTAGCAGCTGCTAAACATGCCCTGCAGTTGAAAGTTGTCAAGTCAGGAATACATATGCATTGTCTCTAAGACAAAGAGTGAAAGACCTCTCCCAAATTTCATTAAATTTAAAAGGCTTTGCTGCCTCATTATGTACGTTGGAAATACAGTCAGGGTATGAACTACCTACTTTTGTTCCAAGTATCTGGTATCAAGGCATTAAGATAAAAATAGGGCTATTGTTTCGGCATTAGTTAAACATATGGATCAAGAGGAGGAGGAGTGCTTTACAAACGTGAAAGGGGACAATAAGGGCACAATAAGTGCGAAGAAAACACCCATTCCTAACCATATTTACAGCAGAGCAAGTGTAACCCACAAGTGCACCACAGAAAAACTACAGTGAGTCTTGAAAAACTGAACTCCTCTCTTTGTAAGAAGTTCCCAACTCAAGTGCAATTGCACAGGGATGCACCCAGCAATGTTTCTACTCAAAATCACCATTCCTACAGCTACCTTACAGAAACTTAAAGGTAAGGCTTGGACCAAGTAATATAGTGCAAAAGAGGCACTGACACTTACTGTTTCATTCATTATTACAATCATCATTTTTTTCCCCATAGATTATTAGTGATACAAAGGTAGAGGATCATTTTATAAGGATTCTCACGACAAGGAAAGGTTAACATTCCAATGCAAGTAATACTTGCACTAACTTTTAAGCTACCCCTTTCTCCTCCACATCAATTAGTCTTATGACAAAGCATAGAGCGGAGTACAGAAGGAAAGAGTATTACTTTTAGTAAGAAAAAACAGCATGGAGTATGTTTTATTTACACATAGCTAAGGGCAGTAAAAGAAACTTTCACATGTGACACGAAGTAACAATATCTGCTGGGAGGGAGGCTGCACAGTGACAGGACATACCTCTGTGGGGTAATCACCCACAGCAGGATGGCCAGGAACACAACACGCAAACACGAAACAAAAAAAAACATTATTGAAATAGAGAATAAATTGCAAATGAGAGATTCAAAATAGAAACTGAAGGTATTTAAGGCAAGTCAGGCCAAAATACTGCAGAGTAAATATCAAACCTCAGACTGCAGGAAACTGATAGTGACCTACCGCCATGAAGCGTGCACAACAGCCGCCTCACAAAGCCAGCGAAAGCACTCACCCAATAGGGAGCATTACTCATCTTAAAGGTGATCGTCGCCTTTATAAACCCCAAACAGCGTCTTGGATAACTGCTATTACTCCACAAATCATAACGTTTGCTTTGCAATCCTGCAGGAGTTTCACACAAAACTTGCGTTCCTTTACAACTAGCTCTAAGAACATCACTCACCTAAGGTATCTGCCATCCTAATGCCCTACCCACAGATTACAGCAGCAGCTCTTGTCCAACGTATCCTGAGCTCCTTAAGGTGCTCAAACAACACATTTAATGCAAGCACTAGGCTATGAGCTGGATGCCGGTACGCCTGCACAGCCACGGTAGGGGCTTAAAGGAGAGCTCAGTTCTAAACTGGCAGACCACAGTGATTGGGGGTCTGAGTGCAGCCAACAGCTCCAGGACGAACCTAACCCACAGCACAGCACACCGCAGGCCAGTTAGCCCATCTGAGTGGGCTTCAAGCAGCGCAGGCATCCTTTGGAAGGAAGGCTGGCGATTCAACGAGACCATTCTTTAAAACATTTGTGGATGAAGAGCATCGAATTCACCCCGACCCATCCACGAAAGCAGCCAAGAACTCCAGTAATTCTAAGTTCAGCAGGAAACAACAAAGAGCTCGGCCAATCCAAAAACGTTAGAGGAGATGCTGGCGTATTAACGCGGCTTTCAGGAAACCACATGTTTATCTCAAACAAACACCGAGCAATTACACATTTCTGGCTAAGTAACTCGATCTAAAGCAACCCGTTTGGTTAAGATTGAAACGGTGAAGCCCGGCCCGCAGCAAACCGAGCACGGACCACGGACACCCGTGCGATAGGACGGCGGAACAACGGCGATTTCACGGCGGTGAACGCCGGTTTCACAGGCCGGACACTGCCCTGCCTCCGCCAGTACCGCAGGAGGAAGTTGTAACTCGCATTTGTAAATCAGTGCAAGAACACTGCCGTGTATACGCAACTGCCGCCGCTTTAGATAAAGGCAGCCGGGGATGCGGGTCCGCTGAGCTGCGGACGATGCACGGAGCCGTGCGAGAGAGCTCGCGCACGTGGGGAAAGGGAAGGGGGAAGAGCAAAACAACACAAAAGCCACCAGAAGATAAGAAGAAAAAAAGGCAAAAAAAAAAAAAAGAAGAAAGAAAGAAAGAAAGAAAACCTGCTAAAAGGGGAGGGGAAGGCTGGCCGCCGCCTACCTGCTCGGCGCTGCCCGGCTCATTGAGGCGATGCTCGGCGGAGAGGTGGTGCCGCAGCAGCAGGGCCCGCTTGTAGTTGCGGGTGCCCTTGCAGAGTTCGTCGTGGCCGCCGGGCACGGGGCCGCCCGCCAGGATCAGCTCGGGCGGGGCGGCGGCAGCCGCCGCGGCGGTGCACCAGGCGCAGGACATGAGGCCGGTCTCCTGGCAGTAGTAGAGCCATGGGAACTCCTTCAGCCAGGAGCCCTGGAAGGAGACGTGCAGCTTCTGCAGCAGCGACTTGGGCCTGGCCAGCGGGAAGTGCCGGACGCTCTCCCCCTCCCCCGCGCCCACGCTGCTGCCCTCCGCCTCGTCCCCGCCGTCGCCCCCGGACCGCCTGCTGCTGCTGCAGCTGCCGCCCTCCGCGCCGCTGCCGTCGCCGAGGCTGCCCCCTTCGCCGTCCTCCTCGTCGTCGCTGCTGTCGCTGAGCGAGCCGCCGTCCTGCGCCAGCTCCTTGCCCTCCAGCAGGCCCTCCGGCTCCAGGCCCTCCGCGCCCTCCAGCTCCATCTCCTCGTCCGCCCCCCGCCCGTCATAGCGCTTCCGCGGCC